GGAGCCCGAATTTCTCCAGGCCGACGTCGCTGGTGCACCGCCGACGTTGCTGGTGCATCGCCGATGCATCGCCGATGCAGCCTCTACGCGTCCCCAGACACCCGACGTCTCGATTTGTTCGAGACGCGGGCCCCCGACCTCCCGACCACTTCCCCGGGACCGGTTTTTCACCCCGAGCCGTTTTTTGACGGTCCCGAGGCCCGGCGAGGGCCCCGAGAGGCCGAAAACGACGAAAAACCTCCGTCTCGATATTTTCGAGACGCCCGATGACTGGGTCCCAGCCGATCCCCGCGCGGCCGAGGACGGGTCCCTGCTCCAGGACCGCTCGCCGCTCGTCCTCACGGCCGCGCTCGAGGGGCGGCCGCCGGCCCGCGCCGTGGGCGCGTCGGGGCGCGAGCAGGACGGCGGGCCCAGTCTGCCTCGCGTCGTCGCCGCAGGGTTGGCCTTTTATTCCCGGAGCCGCGCCTCGGTGCGGATCGCTACAGTCAACGCGCCTAGTATTGTGCAAGTCGGTTGATGGGGAGGAAGCATGCTGCCAAATACACCGATACACCACCGCCAGCCCCGGGCAGGTCCATCCTGGGCCCTGGACTGGTTTATAGAATGGACCTCCAGGCCCAGGCAAGGAGGGCTTGTACACCAGTCCAGGGGCCAGGATAGGCCTGGCCAGAGCTGGCGGTGGCGTATTGTTTTGAGCTCTCCTCCTGTCCCCGGATCCGTGCCTCGGCGCGGATCGCTGCAGTCAGCGCGCCTAGGAGGAAGGTTGGGCAGCCTTCCCAAGGGTGCCCTCGCAGCCCTGCCCCGTCTGCCCCATCCTTGGCCACTCTCGCTGGCCGCGCCCCGGTCGAGGAGCTTCGAAGTGGCCTTCCAAGGCCCTTGCATCTTTCTCGTGCGTCCTTATGATACGGGTTGACTGTAGCGTGCCTCGCCTCCGTCGTCGTCGTCGTCGACGTGTCGTCGTGTCGTCGTCGTTTCGGCGTCGTCGTCGTCGTGGTCGTCGTCGGCGTCGGCGGCGGTGGCGTCGGCGTCGACGTCGGCGTCGTCGTGTCCGCGGTGTTTTGTGTTCTGCTCGTGTACAGTGACCACCACCACCACCACCTCGACTCCCTGAGATCACTCTGACGCAAGGACCCCACATGAGAGTCTTCTCAGCGCTCATGAGAGTCACCATCATCAACGACCAACGATGGTGATGATGCCAGGATGCCAGATACCAGGATGCGACCTGTGAGGCCGTTGAGACTAATGGGGCCCGTGGGAATTTTGAGACTTGCAGGGCTTGTGGGACCTGTGCGACGTATGGGACCTGTGCGATCTGCACAGCCTGTGCGCCCTATGGGGCCTGCGAGATCTGTGAGACCTGTGGGACCTGGGGCAACCGTGGACGCTGCGGGACCCGTGGGACCAGCGGGGCCCCTGAAACTTGTGGGACCTGTGGGGCCCGTGAAGCCTGTGCGGCCCTGCGGGGCCTGTGGGACTTGTGAAGCCTGTAGGGTTTGTTGGACCTGTTGGACCCGCGGGCCTTCTGAACTCTGTTGGACGCGTGGGACCTGGGGGTCCTGCAGGGCCTGAAGGACCTGTGGGGCCTGTGGGGCCTGTGGGGCCTGTGGCACCTGTGGCGTCTGTGGCACCTGTGGGACGTGTGGGTCCTGTGAGATTCGTGAGACCAGTGAGACCTGTGGGACATGTATGACCTGTAGGGCTTTAGGACTGGTGGGCCATGTGGGACCTGTTGGACCTGTGCGACCCGTGGGAACCGTGGGCCCTGTGAGTCTTTTTCGGCCTGTTGGAACTGTGGCACATGTGTATCATGTGAGCCCCCGGCTCCCGCTCGAGACTTTCTCGCGAGACGTCCCTAGATTTGCCACCCTGGAGCGTTCAAGTATTGTGCTTGCTACAGTAAGGCGATGACCCGCTCGGATTCGAACAAGGAGGCGGGGACCCTATAGGCAGGGTGCTCCCGCTCGAGACGTCCTCACGTCTCACTCACGAACCAGGCTCCCGCTCGAAACCTTTTCCAGGTTCATGCCCGAGGAGCCCAAGAGTAGTATTAGTCACAGGCTTTGGACGACCCTGCTCGGATTCGCACATGGAGGCGGGGACCCCACAGGGAGAGGGCTCCCGCGCGAGACTTCCTCGCGATTCACTCGCGAACGAGGCCCCCGCTGGAGAGACGTCCTCCACATTCAGGCCGGAGGAGCCCAGAAATAATACAGAGTTACAAGGTTTGGAAAACAGCGCTGGGAAGTGTGTCCCGCAGTGACAAGGAATTATTGTGGGGGCTTGTGACGACGGGGCTTGGCATGCGAAGGCGTATGGCAGCATCGTTGATGCATGTTGGTTTTACATTGGTTCTCCTCCACCCCTTTTCCTCGTAGATGGCACCTCCTTATCGCACCCTGGACGTGTCGATAAGCGAGGCCTAGCGTTTCGCTTTAGAGTCCCTCACCACTTACGACCCTGTAGCTTGAAATGTGCAAACCGTTACACGGATTGAGGGGGTGTGGTGTTCGACGTGTGGCTCCCGTCTCAGCGCCACGCGACGTCGTCTTAAATTACCCTGGCGAAGGACCCAACCACATGCAAATGTGAATACCGCAGGGCAGGTGGGACGAAGCAAGGGGGAATTTCCAATGTGGCCACGGCGGGGCCGCCATGCGAACCCTGCCACTGGGGCCTTCGGTGGAACTCCCTATGGGGCCACGAACCGTGTGAGGGGTGCGCCAAAATGGGGCGGCGGCGCCATGCGGGCTGCGCCACTTGGATCTGAGGTAGAGCTCCCTATGGGGCCACGAACCGTGTGAGGGGTGTCCCAAAAAGCGGCGGCGGCGCCATGCGAACTGCGCCAATGGGACCTTAGTTGGAGCTCCCTGTGGGGCCACGAACCGTGTGAAGGGTGCGCCACAATGGGGCGGCGGCGCCGTGCAAACTGCGCCACTGGGACCTGAGGTGGAGCTCCCTAAGGGGCCACGAAACTAGTGAGGGATGTGGGCCTCGCCTCAGTGCCGCGTAGACACTCGCTTCCAAGACTTCCAGCGGCTGCGGGCTGCACTCCCAGGGCAGGGCGTCGGCGACGGAGCTCGAAGATGGGGCGGAGCCGCCGCAGCTGCGCCGCCGCCGGGCTCGCCGCTGCCGGCCCTTTTCTCTCGCGGACCCCGCGGCCCCCGGGGGCCGCAGGGCCGCGGGGGCCCCCGGCCGTCGGGCGCCCACGGGGGGAGGCGCGGCGCGCGAGAGCCCGGGGGGGGCCCCTTGGGGCCCGCGGGCGTGCCGCGGCGCGGGCTCCGGCGAAGCGGTGGGCGCGCTCGCGCAGCGCCCCTATCGCCTGTCCGTCCCGTGACACGGCCACCTCCCCTCCTCTCCCAGCGCCGCCTCCTGCCACACCTCGTGTTTTTGTTCCGCTCCTCCTCGTCCTCGCCCCTTTCGCCCTCCTCCTCCTCCTCCTCCTCCTCCTCCTCCTCCTCCTCCTCCTCCTCCTCCTCCGCTCCCTCCTCCCCCGTTTCCACCACCTTGCCGTGCTCGCTTTTCTCCCCCGTTTCAGCCATCATCCTTATCCTCGTCCTTCCCCTTCTCCACCCTCATCCTTCTCCTCCCCCGCCTCAGCCCTTTATACCCCTCCTCACCCTTCCTTTGCGTTCCTCCTCCTCCTCCTCCTCCTCCTCCTCCTCCTCCTCCGCTCCCTCCCCCTCCTCAGCCCGCCGTCTGTCCCAAGTTATCATCAAGTCACCTTTGCAATTAACTGGCGTCGTTCGCTCTGCTCTCTTCACGCTGCGTGGCGGGTGTGAGCATTTTCTCGAATGCCTCCGTGATACTGCGTGGGGAGAGAGTGCGGCATATTCTTTCCATCCGTTGGAAGCGGGTTAGTGGTCTCCCTTCTTCTGGGAGGAGCCTCGACCCGTTGTGCCGTTCTACCATGCTCTGTCGCGGGCTCAAGCTGCATCCCCTTCTCCTGCTGCCAGCGTTGTCGCGGCAGCGTTGCCCACCAGGAAATGAGAGCAGCGCCCGCCACCACTCCACCCAAGAAGCGTGAAGTCCAGCGAAAGGTGGCGGATGCGCTGCGTCATTCAGCATCTAATTCTCGGTTCACAGTCCCTCATTGTCCACATGCGCCTCCTTCCTTCGGACATCCATCAGCCGCCATCGCCTGGAGAGCTTTCCAGGCGCTGGTCCGCCCTCACGACGCTCCGAGACGTGCGCCCGAGCTGGCGCTGGGCCGCACTCGAGACCCTCAGCGGCGGGTGAACAACGAGCCATCGCATGCGCGCGCTCGTGCAGAAGCAGCACGTGTGCGGCCGCACGCAGTCGCCAGATTCACTCACTCCCCCCCCCTCTACCTCTCCTGCCGCCTGCCCCGCCCTCGCGAGCATCCCCTGGTCACCCGACTCGCCTCCTCTCAAACACTCCTTTGCGTCTTGGGCCTCGTGCGTTGCTGCTGCGTGCCCAGACGAGCTTCGCCGCACCGTCCAGCGCGTCTCGCTGGTACGACATGCTTGCAACGTACTGAAGCTAGCGGCCGCCCCTACGCTTGACGCGACAGCGTCCGCGCTCAGCGCAGCACGCGCCCTCCTTTGACGCTAAGTTTCTCCCCTGTCGCCCGCCCAGTCGTCCGCCTCGGAGACGCGCGTCGCCCCCAGGGAAATGACTGTCACTCCGCTCAGTCCTCCTCTTCCTACTCCCCCTCACCCTCCTCCTCCTCCTCCTCCTCCTCCTCCTTCTTGGTTGCTTCCGCCTCCTAACTCTTTCTCTTCCTCCGCTTCCCCATGATTCTCTCTCTTCCTCATCCGTCTGCGCCGGTTCTTCCTGCTCCCACCCTTCTTCTCCTTTCGTTCCGAATCCTGACTTTTCCTGCCCTTCCGTATCATCACCATCACCATCATCACCACCACCATCATCACCACTATCATCATGTTGATCATCTTCATCTTCATCTTCATCCCCATCTTCACCTTCACCTTCGCCTTCCCCCTCGCCCTGCTTCTCGCCGTGTGCCCTCGCCCGCGCCAGCCACTTTGGCTCCAGCGCAGCCCCTGCCGCTCCTCTGCCGGGGCGAGGCGTGCTCCCCCGGGGCGATGCACGCCGTGGCCCCCCTCGACGACGCCACCGAGGCCTGCGAGAGCACCTCCCGGCGCGCGGCGGCACCCGCCGCCGCTGGGGACAGCGACGCCGACGAGGCGCTGGTGGCGCCGCTCGCGTGCACTGCGCCCGGGGCTCCGCCAGCGGCCCGCCGAAGGGGCTGGCGCGCGGGGCTGCTGGCCACGGGGCTCGCCGGCGCGGCGCTGCTGCTGCGGGCCCGCGGGGCGCTGCCGGGTGCCGGCGCGGCGCATCGGAGAAGAAGCGGCCCCGCAGGCAGAAACTCTTGGCGCTCCGCGCGGAGTTCTATAGGATCCGCGCTGGCCCCCCGGCGGCGCCTCCGGCGGCGCCTTGGCGCGCGCTGCGCGCCGGGGAGGGGGGGCCCGGCACGGATCCGAGAGATCCGCGCGCGGAGCGCCAAGAGTTTCTGTGCGTGGCGACCTCTCTTCTCGCGGCCCCGGAGCGAGGGGCTCGAGGGCACCGCGGAGGCGCTCTCCTGCCCGGAAGGGCGGAGCACGGCGCAGGCGTGCGCCTGGGGAGGTCCCGCGCGGGCGTCGCGGGTCGGAGCTGGGCCCCCGCGGCGGCTTCTCCGAGAGCGCCCTCGGGGGCGTGAGGCGTGTTTCGCGCTGCGCGCTTCGCCGTTCGGCTCCGATGCGTCCTCGTCCTCCTCGTTCTCCCTGGCGGGGTCGGCGCGAGAGCGCGAAGTTGTTCGCGCTCCTCCTCCTCCTCCTCCTCCTCCTCCTCCTCCTCCTCCTCCTCCTCCTCCTCCTCCTCCTCCCCCTCTCTGGTTCGTCCTCATCCTCCTCTTCCCCCTTGGGGGGCGGCGCGAGAGCGCGAAGTTGTTCGCGCTTCGCGCAGCGCGCAGCGCGAAGTTGGGCGCCCTGGGTCTCGGGCGCCGCCCCCGCAGGGTTTGGGTGGGCGGTGGTGTGCTGCGCTGGCCCCAAAAATCCACGTGGGCCTCCCCAAGCGCAGTGCTCGTGCAGTGGTTTGCTCTTCCGCCCTCTACGTGAACCTGTCGGCCCTGGACCTCGGGGAGCCTGGCAAGCCCAGCGAGTACCTGCTGCTGAGGGGCCCAGTCGACAACCCGAACAGGGTCGCCGTCCAGGTGAAGCAGGGCGAGTGCGCCCTGGACATTGTCCAGTCCGTGAACTACCTGGGTCGCGCTGGGCTGCAGATCACGCAGGCGGTAAAAACGTGCAAGCCCATCTATAACTCCGTGGGGAGCGAGAACTACCCCGACAACGCGTACATCAGGACAGCATGCGCCGCGGACGCGTCTGGTATCATCTCCTCTTTCAGCTTCGTGGCGACCTTCCTTTCGCTGGCTGCGTCCCACTGCTCGCAGACCCTTAACCTCCCAGCCATCTGCGCCTCGAGTGCCACGGGCCTCGTCGCCGCCCTCGCGAAGGTGTCGGTGGAGGCAGCCACGATGGCCGCGAACTGCGAGGGCGGCACGGTTTACAAACCAGGGCCGTTGCCTGCGGCAGCGGGCAGCGATGCCGTCTGGCAGAACGATAGGCGACTTACCCAGACTGTGGAGCAGCAGATGTCCCAGGCCTCGCAGACGTTGGAGGACACCTGGCAGGCCCTGACCGCGCTGAACGAGTCGCTCGGAGAGTCGCTGAACCTCACCGACCCCGCCTACGAGAAGCAGCTGCGGATGGAGCGGGACGGCGAGCTGGCCACCTGTGTGATCGACGCGACCCAGGCCTCCACATACCTTGCGCAGATGGGAGTCGCCATACAGAAGGCCGCGAAGGGCTGCCCCCTGCAGGAAAGCCTGGAGAAGGTGCCTGGGGCAGATGTGCTGAACACCAATATGTGCGCAGAGAGCGTGCTGGAAATCATCTCGAGCCTGTTCAACGCGGGTGCATTTGTGGCCGGCGCGATATCACATTGCGCCCTGGGCATCAACACGCAGGCGCTGTGTGCACAGGTCGGACGGGGCCAGGACGAGGATAATTCCCTTCCAGAGCGTTCCGGAACACTCCCAGAGCGTTCTGGAGCGCTCTGAGAAGGCCGCGGCGCCCGAGACATCCTCTAGAGCCGCCAGATCTCAGAGATTCTCGATTTATCCTCACCCGAATTTGTCCTCGTCCTGGCTTCGTTTTAACAGGGGGCTGTAGGCGTAGTTGCGGCCACAACCGAGCTCGTGAAGTTCTTGATATCCATGGAGTCCGCCTGTACGGAGTTCCCTCCGATCCTGGATGCCCTCAAGAAAGGGAGCCGCGCCCGCTGAGCGAAGGGGCCCTGGCGCCGTGGCTGCTGCCCCTGCGCCTACGCACCAACGTCGCGCGCAGCTCGCCTGCGCATGATGGGGCGATGGACGGTCGGGCTGACGATACGGTGGGCGTTCGTTCAGGAATGTGTCCAGGAGGCTTTAGACTCGAGACCCTGGAAGATCCCTTATCGGATGACGGCGGCGGTGCTATCTGTGGCCAAGCCTCGATTGGAGTTCCACGGGCTTCCAGACCATGTCTTCTTGGCCCCATGGTTCCTTACCCGGTGCCCTCACCGTTGGGGGATCGGGGTGCAGTCGGACCGAGGCATAAGCTCGAGGGCGGTTGGGGGAGGGTATCCCAATGTTCTTCTTGTTTCTTGGACGGTCTTGTGCATCCAGGGGGAGGGCACCCTCGAATGATTCTTCTAAGGTTCGGGGTGCTCTGGCCGGCGGAGGGTCTCCTCTTCTTGGAAGGACGCTCTTCTGTCCTACAGGTCTGACGGTGCTCCGGGTCGGAGACGAGTGAGCCACAATTCACACGTCTGCGGACGGCAGGTGTCTCCCTCCGGCGCCGAGGACCACCTTTCCGCACCTCTGGGCGGCAGCCTCGTCGCCGCCCTCGTCACCTCCTCCAGTGCCCTCGCCGTGCCCGCTTCGATGGCCTTCCAAGTCGCCAGAGGTCTGGGAAGAGGGAGGGGCCCTCGTTCGCCTTCTGCTGCCCTCGGGCGGGCCACCCCTCTGTACCTCCTGGCGTCTCCTTCGTCGCCGACCCCGGGGAGGGCTTCGCGCGCCCAGGGGAGGAGGTCTGTCGGGACGCGTCTGGCGCCTCCGACTCTACTTGTACCCGTGCTCTCGCGCCCTCCTAGGAATCAAGAGATGTGCGCGCGCCTCTCAGGGCGAGAATTCGATGCCGACGCGCGCGGCCCGTGCATAGCACGAGGCGTCGCCGTCCTCGCGCTTCGTGCCGGCCCCAATGCTCACGTGGTGTTTTTCTTGTGTCGCCGGCGCGGACTGCAAGATCTGTTAACGACTCTCGGCCTGCTCCTGCGGCCGGACGCGCAGGCACGACACTGTGCCAGTGCGACGAGCGCGCCAATTCAATGTCACGCGCCCTCCTCTTACAGTCGGAGCGCTGAACAAGGAGCCCGTTTCGTTGGGGAGGGGCTCCGTGTTCCCTAATTGAGTCGCAGTTTGCCTTCGCTTGTCTTCAGGTTTTCGTTGGGGAATCGAGGCTAACTTGTGGAACAAAAAGGGGTCTCGTTCCTGATCTAGGGTTCCTGAGGTCGACGCCCCGACGGTACCTTCTCGTGATGGTGGTTTCGCTGTTCCGGGGCAGAGGCCGTGGGGCGCCGCTCCGATCGGGGCGTGCTGCCGATATCCGATGGCAGTGCGTCGTTTGATGGTTTTTTCCGCGAGCTCCTCACCGGGCTGGGTAAGCCCACGGCGAGCATCTCAACCGCCCGGGATTGCCAAGGAGGTTGACCTCTGGAGCTTCAGAATCTGAAAATGGGCCATGGGTCCAATCAATGACGTCAGCCGACAGGGTGGAGAACATGAAGGCTCGCTCCAGAAAGGGCATCGCACATCACAGGGACCCTGCTGGTTTCGCTGCAGTGCCCAGCGTGGAACGGGACCCGCACCTCCGACCGCCGTGACATGGGCTTTCGCACCTCTCTTTATTTAATCGCTTCGCTCATTCCCCCGGCCCATACAGTCTCATGTCTGCCGTTTGCCCGAGGGCCTGGTGTCAATGCGGCGCTTTGGGGGTTCCTGGGGCCGCTTGGGGGACTCCTGGGGCGCTTGGGGGGGGCATTCGGGGGGCCTCCTGGGGCCGCTTGGGGGACTCTTGGGGGCCTCCTGAGGGCCTCGTGGGGGCCTTTTGGGGCCTCTTAGGGGCCTCTTGGGGCCTCGTAGGGGCTTCTTAGGGCCGAGGGCTCGAAATGTTGTTTCGTGTTCCCTCTCTGGGGCCCCTTTGGGGGCGTTCTTGGGGCCCTCTTGGACCGTCTTGGAGGCTTCTTGGGCCGTCTTCGAGCCCTCTTGGGCCATCTTGGGGCCCTCTTGGGGGCCTCTTGGGCCCTCTTGGGGCGATCTTGGGGGCCTCTTGGGCCGTCTTGGGGCGTCGGGAAGCCGAAAAGGTGGAAGCTCCAAAATCTCTCAAAAACCTAAGGAAAAACAATGATTTTTGCCTCCGGGGGCCCTCTTGGGAGTGCTCTTGGAGGCCTCTTGGGGCGTCTGGGGGCCATCTTGGGCGTCTTGGAGCGATCATGTGGCATCTCGGAACCCTTGTGTACCATCTTGGGAGCCTCTTGGGGGCATCTGGACCCGTCTTGAGGGTTTCGGGGACGTCTCGGAGCCCTGTTGGTGCGCTCCTGGAGCGCTCTGGGGGAGTCTCCCGGGGGTCGGTCGGGGATCGCCCGGGGTACTTTTCGTCCGGGGACCCCCAGGGGCCGCCCCGCGCGCGCGAACTAGAGAATTGTTAACCAGTTACCGGAGATCTTAGCACGCCTCTGGCCCGTTGGGCCGGCGAATCCTGGGGACAGGTATCTCATCCCAGATTGTTCTTGGGTTTACCGTCCTGGCGCATACAAACAGGGAGCCTTTAGCGCAATGCAGTCAAGCAGGATCAGAAGGGCAAGCCAGTGTCTAAGGGTGCCCTTGCGTCCTGGCCTCTTCGGCCCGTCCGTCGCTTCCGCTGGCCAGCCTCTCAGGGCACCCATTGTCTAACCGCGCTATCTGGCACCTAGCCCACCAGCATCTGGCACCCAGGAATTAAGGTTCATAACTGATAATAAAATCCTCGCGCGTCGTCCTCGCCAGAGGTGGTACTGCCCTCCTAGGCCCTCCTCCAGGCCCTCCTCCACCTCGCCCATGGGCCCTCCTAGCTAGGCCCTCCTCGCCCTAGAGTCGCCCTCGCCCTCCTAGGCCCTCCTCCTCCTCCACCTCGCCCATGGGTGCCCACACTCGCTCTCTCCCTCACACAGTCCCATCGCCCCCCTCGTCATCGTCGTCTTCGTCGTCATCATCATCATCACCGCCACCATCATCCCGACACCCCCTTCTTCTCCCTCCTTCCCATATCTTCCGCTCTTCTTTTTTCTTCTCGACATCTAACCAGGTCTGTCATGGGCTCTGTCTGGGCTGCTGCACTGCGTCCTCATCTAGCCCCACCTCCTCATCATATCCTAGCCCCGCGCTGCTGCTGGCGACTTACTACGTACCTAGTAGCCCCGCTCCTCACTCACTGCATGAGGATCTTCACCCTGCGCACGCGCCGGTAGGTCCCATTACTAGAGTACTGGTAATGCTCGTCGCCGTCGTAGCCCCCTGTGCCGAAAACCACGGTGACGTCGTGGTCGAAGTAGTAGTCGGTCTGAAACTGAAACCACTTAGCTCCGGACTGGTAGGCGGCCTCAGTAGCCTTGGAGTGGTAGCCCCAGAAATCCACCCAAGCGCCATCCACCCAGGAATCCTCACAGCCCCAGCGGCTTTCAGCGAACTGCCAAGTGATGGCAGTAGCCTCGTCGTTGCTGATGCGCTTCGCATTATTAGCCCCCCACCAGCAGTTCCAGCGGCAGCAGCCCGCCCAGCACATCGTTTAGCGCCTAGTTGTAGCGCCCAGTATGTTAGCGCCTGGCGTGCGTCAGGCCAGCAGCTTGAGCCACTAGATGCAACCAGCAGCAGCAGCAGCGGGCGTAAGGGGTGCAGCGGCGGCGGCGGAAAGGGGGGGCATCTCGTTGGGGGCTATAATATTTGCGAAGGGGGGGGGTCGACGACGCCAGGGGGGGGCTATGTGGGTGGCAAGCCCACGAGCATACGGCACGTCCGTCCATAGGGCCCTCGCCACAGCAGGCATCGCCACATACCAAGCAACCCATCAGGTCGTCCTGGACCATGGGGCCCTGGCCCATCCATGGAGCCCTCGCCCTCCGCCGCGACCTTCGCAGAGACTCCGACATTCATGGGCTCCTCGCCCACAACCGCCCTCCTCCTCAGCCTCCTCCTCCTCCCACTCCTCCGACTCCTCCTCGCCTCCTCCTCCCCCTCCCCCTGGTCACCGCCATCGTCATCGCACCCATCGCCATCGCCATCGCCGTCACCCACCCTCCCCACTCATCGCTATCGTCGCCATCATCATCACAATAATCATCCACCTCTCGTCGCTCTCCCCCCTCCTCCTCCCCCTTCCTCCTCCCCTGCTTCTTCCTCATCGCCACTGCCGCATAATGATTAATAATCCTTTGCTGCGTCGGCATCAGCATTATTGCAACCGCTGTTGCCCCCACCATGACAGGCCGCCGTTGCTTTCCGCATCGCCTTCTTTTCGTCACCATCGCCATCATCACCACAGCATCATGATCACCGGATCGTGTTCCTCATTATTTGTTTTTTGCTCTGCATCACGATCCGAACAGTGCTCCTCTTCTTCCTTCTACCCCCCCCATCCTCGACCTCCTCCACTTCTTCCTCCACCTCCTCCTCCCTCCCCCCCTTTTCCTCCTCCTCTCCTTCCTCCCCCTTTTCCTTCTCTCCCTCCTCCCTCCGTCCTCCCCCATCCTCCTCCTCCTACTCGTCCTCCTCCTCCCCGTTCTCCTCCGCCTCCTCCCCCATCCCCCTCCCTCTCCTTCCTCCCCCTGCTCCTCCCTGTTCCCTTCCCTTCCTCCTCCTCCTCTTCAACCTTCTCCTCCTTCCTCCTCCTCCTCTCCCTCCTCCTCCTCCATCTCCTCGTCCACCACCTCCAGTGCAGCGCGCGCCGACAAAGCTGCCCCTGGCGCGAGCCCCCCTGAGCCTGCCCGAGGCTTGGTGGGGTAGCTGCAGGCGGGGGGGCATCCTCCACCATGGCTCACATGCAGAAGACGGAGCTCTGCCGGTTCAGAGGTGAAAATTTCCCCAGGCAGGGGGATGGGATGGGGGCGGGACGGACGACGACGGAGCCCATCATCCCGCCCCCGCCCCGCCCCCCCTGCCGGGGGTAAGTTTCACTTCTATGAGGTTCTATTGGAACAGCTACAGCGGGGCTAATATGCGCTGCAGCCGCGGCGACCGCTGCGGGTGCCCTTCCCGCGATGGGCCAGGCAGGGCGGACAGGAAGGCTTGAGGTGGGACGGCGTCTCGGGCCTGCAGGGCTCAGTGGAGGGTGGTCTGGCCGGCCTCCGCCTGCTGCTGCTGCTGCTGTTGCTGCTCCCCCCACTGGAGTGAGGAGGAAAGGGGTGGTGGGACGAGAGGGGCCTCCCCCTGACGATGAGACGACTACCATGCTTTTTATACCCGAAGGCTAGGGGCAAGAAACAGTACCGAGTTCAAAGGCAAACAAGACGACGCGTGAAGAATCATCTTCTCGCACTCCCCATCCGCGGGCTTCAGCAACACCGCGCCGGTGAAATGCATGATGCGTGGGCTTATATCCCTCGCGGCCCCAGGGGGCTTATAATGCGTGAACACACAGAAAAAAAGGGCGGGCCCCATGGGGGGCATCATCCACAGGCAGGGGGATGCGCTTGTCCAAGGCAAGCGCATATTCAATTAAATGAGGAGGAGGAGCAGGAGGAGGGGCCAGGAAGAGAGAGGAGCAGGAGCAGGAAGAAAGGATCAAGTCATATTTGATATCTGACTGAAGTACATGCAGTATTTGCACGCGGCAGCAGTGTATGCATCATATACATGTTCACCACCCATGCATATACATATTTGTGTACATATACGTATTCACATACATACGTTGGCATTTACATAATATGTTCGTCTGATGTTGTTGCGCGCGGGTCCCTGCGACAACTCAGAAGCATATGCATATACGCGTACTGACACATGTGTAAACACACGCGCACATCATGCACATACTACCTCGACATGCACACCACACACATCACACACATCACATACACGTGCAGTGCCAGGAACATCGCCGGAAACGCCAGGGAAAGCCCCGCCCCGTGGCCCAAAGACAGCCCAAGACAGGCTGGCCCAGCCAAGACGCGAGAATAGTTGCCATTGCAATGGGGGGGCTAACTAAGAAGTCAGGAGGGCAGCTGAGTTGTTGCCCTGGGGGGCGGGGGGGGGGGGGCGGGCGTTCCCAGGTGCGCCCGCTCGATGGACGAGCTCATGGTCGCCCCATGGAACGCGACCCGTGGCATCCACTACAAGATAGCATGGGCGCTCTGCGCACCCCCGCCGCCCCGCCGCCTGCCGGGCCTGGGGCATCATGCGCGCTCGCATTGATTGGCGCGTAGCGCAACGCAGGATGAGGCCGCCACCTCCGGAAGAACCCGCGCGGGGGGCTAAGCGGGCGAAGCGACAGGAACGCAGGCGATTGGTGGGCGGGGGGGAGGAGGAGGAGGAGGAGGAGGAGGAGAGGAGGGGGAGGAGGAGGGAGGAGGGGAGGAGAAGGGCAAGAGGAGGAGGAGGAGGGGGGGGGGGGGGGGGGATGGGGGGGCGGAAGGAGGAGTGGGGGGAGGGGGGGGGAAGAGGAGGGGGAGGAGGATGAAGGAGGAGAGGAGAGGAGGAAAATAGGGGAGAGGATGATGGGGGGGGATGGGGGGTGGGGGGGGGGCGGGAGAGGGGCGAGAAGGGGGGGGAGCA